TGAAAACAAAAAAACAAAATTTTAAGACATCTAATTAGTTTCACAGTACGATAAATTAACAGATACTGCTGATCCTATCCTGGAGATATATAATTTTCTTCCTGAGCTATTTTGATTTGTAGTTCCATTTATTCATTTCCCAACACTACTCTTATTTGATCGAAAAAGCAGACTTCAATACAATCTTATTTCACCATCTAACAAAAAAAAAATACAATCTTATTCATTTAAAAGCATGAAAAATATTCTGACTGAAACATTTTTAAGGAAATAACTCCTTGATCAGAAAACAGTTTTAACTTCTCAGAGCAGAGCAACAAACCACACATAACTTGATAGGACAACATTAAAGAATGATTGAAAGTATCAAAAAAAAAAAAAATTAAAGCAGGAAAAAAAAACAAAAAAAACTCCTCTCAATGGCATATATAGGTTTCAAAGAACAACCACCGAGGAAATCAAAAACAAAAATCAAGAATAAAATTCTTGAAAGTAAAGGAAACAAAAGGCAAATTCAATTTGAATCATGTTATGCCACAGAATTTAACTATAACTGATACGGAATGGAGCAAGATCAATCAATTAAACAAGTAAAATAAAATTAACAGTTAATTAAATACTATTAAATTTTCAACAAATTTACCATGGATAATAAATAAGCTAATGACTTGCAAAACAAAAATTCAAAAAGCAAAACCACAAATTCTTATATGAACAACAAAATTGAGATCTGATACAAACAATATAACAAAACTACAAAGATAAAAACAAATCTCAGTGATATATTTCTCTAGTTTCGATATCAAATTCATACAAGAATCGGCTACTTAATCCCCAAAAAAAAAGGTTCTATTTTCGGTTGAACAAACCCTAATACATCAAAGTTTCAACTATTAAACAAGCATTCATGAGTGGCGAACATATACATATATACTTGCAGTAAAGAAGCGAAGAAACGATGAGAGAGAAACAGAGAAGAGATTGGTACCGTGGAGAGAGAGAGAGAGTAGAGCTGAGAATGTTTAAGCAGAGAAAAGGGTTTGGTTTTGGGTTTTAAAAAGAGTTTAAAATTGAGTTTTGTGACGTGATTTCTGTTTTGAAAATAATTTTTTAAATTAAGTTTTGAACGGTGTGTTTGGTTATGAATTTTAGAAAGAATTTTAATTTTTTTTTTATTGGAACTATGATTTTGAGCTTTGTGAGTTGGTTTTTTGATTGTTTGGTTTTTTTAGTTATTTTAAGGTCTCGTTTGGAAACAAAAATTTTTTAGTAATTTTTTAACTTTTTGATTAAAATATAATGTAAAAAAAATTAGTATGTTTATAAAGACTTTTTAATTTTTTTACAAAAAAAATGTGTAAAAAGTAAAAAGAAAATAGAATATTTGACTTTTTGGTATAGGTTATTGACTTTTGATTTTTTTAGTGATCTTTTAGCTTTTAGACTAAAAAGTGATGTTGTCAAACAAGCTAAAAAGTCTCGTTTGAAATAGATTTTTTGAATTTTTTAAATTTTATAAGAAAAAAATAAACTGATTATAGATTAAATGTATCATTTTCTCTTATTTAACTAAAATAATTTATTTTATTTTATATGATTATTTTAACTCCAAAGGCATGCCAAACGAACCTTTTAAAAGAGAACTAAACATGGTCTTTGTATCGCGTAGAGAGAAAGAGAGAGAGAGAGAGAGAGCTATGAATGTTTAAGCAGAGGTTGCGATAACAGATAGTTATCAAAATTGCAATCTCAATATCCTACTTACTTACGATACTGTACCGTATTGGATTATCGTAACTAATATAATAGGGTTTTATATATTATTTCTGTAGAATCCCAATTAAATCGCACCTTCAATTAGAGGAATCACAACACAATTAATGCTTCGTTTGTTTAAAAGGTTGCAATAACAGATAGTTATCAAAATTGCAATCTCAATACCCTACTTACTTGTGGTATTATAACGTACTGGATTATCGTAACCAATACTATAGGGTTTTATGGATTCTCTCTGTAGAATCCCAAATAAATCGCGCCTTTAATTAGAGGAATCATAACACAACCAATGCTCCGTTTGATTTAGATTTTTTTAGGTACCTGTTTTTTAGTTGATACGGATAAGTTATAAATAATTTTAAAAAAAAGTTTGTTTTGACAAAAAGGACCACATTTTCACTAAAAAAAAATCTTTAGGACAATTATAAAAAAAAATAAAAATAAAAAGATTAATGCTCGGTAGCCCAAAAAGAAGGTGTCACGACCCGCTCCCCATACCCAAGGGTTAAGTATCGTGATGGCCTGTAACTGAAGTTACCTCCGGCCAATTCATAAACAAATTAATAAACGCGAGTGGAAGTGATATTTAAATGAGGGTATCAAAATAATCATTGGAGTTTTTATTTTTATTACAAAATTACTGACCAAAAAAATCGATATTTACTAGAAAAATATCAATAAAAGTGCTGTGTGTGTCTATTCCGCAGCTCCGCATCTAAGACTTTCCAAAGCTATTTCTTGAAAGTTGGTAAATAACTATAAGCACACGACAGAGTGAGAAATATTATACCAAGAGTATAAGGGACACGAAATAACCACGGATAGTTAGTTAGGCCAAAACATTTAGGATAACTGAGTCGGAACAAATAATTCTTCAAGTAGCAAAATTGAGATTATGTAAATAAATCATTTAGGTGGCAGAAACTGAAATACAGATTTTATGTAAATAACTAACCATAACCAAGGTATAGAACAGAACAGAGGTCACAGAAGTGACAGTCAGAACAGAGATACAGATTAAAGAGGTGGCTCGTACGGATTCTAGAGGTGGCTTCCACAATAGTACAGCACTTAGCTCCGCACAGCACTTTGGTCAGCACAGAACAGAGGTACGGATTCAAGAGGTGACTTGTATGGATTCTAGAGGTGGCTCCCACAATAGTGTAGCACTTAGCTCCGCACAGCACTTTGCTTCGCACAGAATAGAGATCGATGGATCCATGACAAACAGAGAGTCACAAAGTTGCCAAACAGAAGCTAATGGTTATTTAAGCCCCCCAAGGCGTGGGACTCCCTTGGTGATACTTACAAAACATAATTGTATATAAGGTCATAGCCAAATATTCTTTAAAATATAAACAACCATATCTATGGGTTTCCTTTTAAGCAAATAGGGTTCAGAAATAAAACCACGTAACTGAAACCTTTATAAAATATAACCTTTATTAATATATTAATAAAACATAACTTGTGTAAAACATATTTTGGTAAGTTAAAACATAAATAAAATATATTTTGGTAACTTAACGTATAATATAACTCACATTAATTTTAATACCTTACTCTTTCTTTCTATTATCAAAAACTTTTTCGACTTCCACTATTTTTTCCTTTCTTTCCTCTCTTTCTTTCGTTTCTTCTTTCTTTTCCTTTCTCAGGTTGATCACTCTTCCTATTTATAGGGAGGTGAGGCCATCCATCGGCCAATACGTAGCCAGGCCATAAATATCCCTCAAATTTTGATAATGAATTCGTAGATTCAATCTTATCTCAAATAAATATTTAAGATAATTATATTTTGATCCAATATTTTAATATAATTATATAAATTAATTAATTCTTAATTAAATTACACTTTATCATATACTAACAGAAAATTAATTATTTATTTTAGTACCACACCCATTATTATTATTATTTATATTATCTATGTTATTATTATTTATATTTTGACCCCTAAACTTTTACTAATTATATTATTTTACAAAATTACACATAATAATATATAATAAATTATATATTTTTCGAACTGAGATTAAATAATATTAGTATAAATTCTACAGAATAATTAAAAATCTGGGTTGTTACAGAAGGGACTCAAATGGCCCGAATGAGTGTTCACCGAATGTCCACTCGGATGACCGGGTGAAAACTTGTTTTCTGCAGTTGTTGTCTTTGTCTACTGCGACTGTCAACCTTCTCATCGGATGACTGGCTGGACGTTTGCTTGAATGACCGGTAAGATGAATTTCGAGCCATTCGAGCCAACCTTCTTTTCAGGCTACCAAGCATTGCTCAAATAAAAAATAATCCTTTGAGACTTATAATAAAATAAATATTGGATTTTTTATTTTGTCAATTTAAATTACAATATTTTAATTTAAAATATTGAATTTTTTTTATTTTGTCCATTTAAATTACAATCTTTTGATTTGCTTTCAATATAAAAAAAAAAAAAGAGAGAGTATTTTTGTTATTAAATTCAATGTAAGTGTACAAAAAATATCTTAAATATTATTTTTTTATTGAGTTTAATGACTAATATATATATATATATATATATTGTTAATTTTACTTATAGACAAATAATTTAAATTGAAAATAAATCAAAAATTTGGAGTCAAATTTTTTTAAACATTTATTGCGTAAACTTTTAGGATAATGATAAGATTTAAACATCTATGTT